TCTAACCTATTCCTAGCATTTGTGCCCCTTCTTTAATTTCACTCGATTTATGCCACGTTTGAAGCAAACAGCTAAGCATTTCTGCCGACTGTAATTGTCAATTGCTCATCTCCCTCTGAATGCTCCAGAGAGAGGGGGTCTCTTTCCTCCTGAAACAAAAGTAGAAAATGAGGCTTTCAGGTTGGATCACCTCCCACCCTTCTTCTCTACCCCTTAATCTCGCTTTTTTTCTTTGTTCTTTCTTGCCTCCAGAACTGTGACACCAGAAACTAAACAAACAGGGAAAAAATGTTTCCTTCTCCAGGAGGCAAAAGAAATCTTTGTGAAGAATTCTTTTAAGGGATGAAATGGAAAATTACCGGTAGGAAAACAAATCCCACAGGAACAAAGGCCTTGCTGGAGCTTAAGTTCAAACGCTGCTGTATTTTTAATTTAGAGGTTTTTGCAGACAAAGGTGCAAATTAACAGAATTGCGGACTGAGCTGGGTGAGGTGGCAGGGCTGCTCTCAGCTCCTTTGTAATTTCATTGTTAGTCCATGAGCTAGATCAAGACTTATTCTCAGCTTTGGGCATGATTTTATGGAAACATAGCAAATTGACCACAGAAAAAGACCCATCCATCCATCAAGTCTGCCCTTTAAGGTTTTTGTTTGTTTATATTTTCCTTTTAACTTATTTAGGTTTTAATTAATTAATTAATTTTATTATTTTTATACTTGTGTTATTTATGTACAGCTGCAGGCTTCCAATGTTGAGAAAGCCTGACGTAGAATGACAGATCTTTCTCCTTTGAGAGAGTGCAGGGTTGGGACTTGTAAAGTGAAGCTCTTGTGCGGCTGCACCACTCTGGTTTGTAAACAATTTCCTGACCATGAGAACAATTAATCAGTGAAGAAGGCGCTGGCCTCCCAGAGCTGAGGGTGCCCCGTCATCAGGCAACGCATGTCCGGGGAGGTATGAGGGCTCCTGCCTTGGGCAGAGGGTTGGACTAGAAGACCTCAACAGTTCCCTCCAAGCTATGATTTTATGAAACAGAGATTCCCCCAAAATTCAGTTACGGAATCTGCCTGCCCGTGCAACTCTATAGAATAGGAAGCATTTCTTGTTCCATTGCAATTTTTATGGGGATCTGCTATGGAGATTGTATATACAGGTAGTCCTCAACTTATGACCACAAAACCCAAAGTTTCTGTTGCTAAATGAGACATTTGTTAAGTGAGTTTTCTCCATTTTATGACTTTTCTTGCCACAGTTGTTCAGTGAATCACTGCAGGTGTTAAGTTAGTAACGCTGTTGTTGAGTGAATCGGGCTTCCTCATTGACTTCGCTTGTCAGAAGATCGTAAAAGGGGATTATGTGACCTCCAGGACTCTGCAACCGTCATAAATGTGAGTCAGTTGCCAAATGTCTGAAAATTTTGATCCCCTGACCATGGGGGTGTAGAAATGGCCGTAAATGTGAAAAATCCCTATTTTCAGTGCTGCTGTAACTTTGAACAGTCACTAAATGAACTGCTGTAAGTTGGAGACCATCTATATTACCCCTGCTATGAAGTCTCCGAAGGTGGACAGAATAGTGCAGACATCCTTAAGCTACCAATTTTTTATGGCTGCAATGAAAACACATCAACAGTTAGTGCAAATACGATAAATTGGCCAGCCTGGACTAATGTGATTAATTAATTTCTTCTTTCTGGCTTTATTTTCTTTGATACGCTGATCTTTGCTCATCATCATATATTTGATTTGTCTTTAATCACTTCCATATTCATGATTCAATTCCAAAAATAGCTACTTGACTTTATGCCACTGAATTCACTGAAATTGAAAAGGCAAGAATGGCTTTTCTGAAAGGCAATTCCCAATTCTGCAAAGACAGCCAAGGCTGCATAAAGAAGGGATGGGAAAATGGGGGTGATAAGAATCAATTAATTTATATTCAAAGAAGCTCGGTTCAATAAGACCCCACCATTTTCCAAGGGGTCCACAGAGAGATTGAGATAATCAGAGAGCAATTGCTAAATTAAGCAGATAAATGCAATTAAGTACTCAATATTTCTCTGGATGAAGGTGTAAAACAGCCTTACTTATCTGATGCCCTTGAGAAGATAGGAACTCTACCTCCCATCAGTCTCAGCTAGCCTATGATTTGCAAGATTTACAAAGATCAAGAGGATTGTTGCCCATTATGTCTGGAGAGCAGGGTATTGTAGAAAACTGATTTGAAGTCAACTGGCAACTTGAATTGTGTTGGGCCATTTAAATTACATTAGGCAAAATCTGAATATGAACTGTCTTCTCATACATGAGATGCTTTTGTGTCTTCTTAATCTATTTTTTTAATCTTACACCACTGCAGAAATGTGTTCACTTGAGGGCCATAGAAGATTTCTGTGGTATTTTGAAGCCTGCAATCCAGAACTGGAAGGTTTCATGGGGCTTAAGAGGTAAAGTAAATACCTGGAGACCTTAAGGTACCAATATTCCCTTTCAACTTCCGCTCCCCAAATCAAAAAATGATTAAACATCTTGGTGCCATTTGGCCTGATCCATTTATCCACCCTTTTTCCTAAGCTCCAACTGATTCGAAGCAGCAGGAAACCATATCATAGCCACAAGTAAGAGTAGCCAAGTTATGGCACAATTTGATTAATTGTTGACCAGACCAGAAATAATTTAGTCCCAATTTGCTAGCCCAACCACCTAGAGAGACAAAGACAGAAAGACAATTAGATGGTGTATGGCTGATGGATAACCTTGCCAGATCTTAGAACTGGAGGGTTATTTAATGGAGGCAGCTTTGCTTGTTTGCAAAAGATTGTAGATTCTCCCATTGAAATGGATCAAGTAGCTGCCTGATCTCATGCTGGGAGCTTGTGGGAGATATAGCAGTTGTCCAATTCTCACAAATGCTGAGTTTGACTGTTAGTCATCTGCTCTGCTGTACGGCAGCTTCTGATGGCTTTACCTGTCCTGCCGGAGGCATCTGGCATCTCTTCTCCTGTGTTTCTCATGAAATAAGCAATTGTCCAATAGACAATTCAGTCTATTTGTTCACTTGTGGATTTACATCCTGCCTTTGGGACAGGAAGGCGGGCACTCCCTCCTCCCATTTCCCCCCACAATATCAAGGTCTAGGAAGTCGGCTGCTCTGAGAGAGGGTCGCCATGGCTGAGGGAAGACTAGAAAATTAGATTATCCCTCTCTTAGTCCAACACTTTCATCACCATACCAAGCTGGCTCTCGGGCTTAAGTGAGATGGAAATTCTGGGCCCGACTGCCATCATAACCTGAGGACTACCTGTAGGCGCTAAAAGGTGCACAGATGAAAGGACAGGACAGGAAAAGGGAGGCGGCACTGAGGGGGAGGAAGAGAAGGGCAAAGATGAGGCTGTCGGCCGGCCGGCTGCCGTCCGCTCACTGCCCACCACACACAGAGGGAATTACCTTTCTGTTTACTGACTTTTCTGACAGTCATGGCTGCTTGTCGTTTCTGGTTCTCAGAAATTTCAAAGCCTGGAGAGGAAAGAGGAGGGGGGAAGAGAGAGTGAACACTCTGCAGAAACATAGTCCCTCTTCTCCACCTGGATTTCCTGAAGGCTTAAAGAGGTAGATTAATCCAACAGACCTGATTATGCCCTCATTGATCTCTCCTTACTTTTCTTTTTTCTCTGCTTCCATTTTCTCCTTCCTACTCTTTGTTCCTTTCTCCCTCTCTTCCTCCCTCCCTCCCTCCCTTCCTTCCTCTCTCTCTCCCTTCCTCCCTCTCTCCCCCCTCTCTTTTCATCCCTCATGCTAGTTTTTCCTCATGCATTTTGTACACACAGTTTTTTATGCGCTCTTCCCCTGTACGCTGATCCGTATGCCCATTTGTATAAACAGCCACATTGTTTGCAAGTCAACCTTTTTCATAAAAAAACCCCTTCTTGTTCCACAGTTTTGGTGTGGGGTTTTTTTTCCCCTTCTGGTGCACCACCTGTTAGTACCTATATGCTTCCTAGGCATGCTTTTGATCTGTGTGCTGTTGCGCATAATTGAATTTTGCCATTAGTGCAATAAGTGCAAGAACACCACCCTCTGCTCCTAGAGTCATTTCACCCACTCACTCTTCTCCATAATTTATAGAGCACATTCTCCTTTGTCAAATGACATGAGATATCACCAGTTCATGTACTGGTTTGTAAATTGCAAAGTGGATACCTTTTTATGAAAATGCAAACCAACAGAATTTTCTTCCAGCCAGTCAGTCAGCTTGATGCATACACACTCCTTGATTAGACAACCAGCTCCATTTTCTGAAGTGCTTGCCAGTCTACATGTGACACACATGACTGCTGCTTCCAACCACTGGCTCCTTTGGACCAGTTGGGGCTAAACTCTTAAGATTTCCCATGAATGATGGCTGGGAATCTGGGGACCCCCGTCATACCTGGAAAATCTACATTGGGAAATTAAAGAGACAATACCTTCCTATCCCTTGAAGGACATCAAGCAAAACCTTGATACTCTCTTCAAAGCCTCCTTGCTCCACTCTGCCTTACAGTCAGTTATGTTGCTCCTTTGAAGGCAGCACGAGATTTTCTTTGACTGGAGCCCATGGTTTTCTATGTGGGAGCAAAAGTAGGCTTTTCTGTATGAGGAGCCATGGTGGCTCCATGGTTAGAATGCAGGATTGCAGGCTGGCTCTGCCCACTACCAGGAGTTCGATTTTGACAGGCTCACAGTTGACTCAGCCTTCCATCCTCCTGAGGTCAGTCAAATGAGGACCCAGATTGTTGGGGGCAAGAGGCTGATTCTGTAATCTGCTTAGAGAGGGCTGTAAAGCACTATGAAGTGGTATATAAATCTACGTGCTATTGCTATTGCAGGCTAACTCTGCCCACAACCTGGAGTTTGATCCCAATGAACTGAAGGTTGATTCAGCCTTCCATCCTTCCGAGGTTGGTAAAATGAAGACCCAGATTATTGAGGACAATACTTTGACATTGTAAAGCACTATGGGGTAGTATATACATCTAAGTGCTATTGCTGTTGCTATCATGCAAGGAAAAACACATGGTTGTAGTTTCCCATTGCAAGAATGGATAATAGGAAAGAGATGGTGCAACCTGTTGGTTCTTCTTTTCAGGAGATTCCAGATGGATTTGGAAGCCAATGGACAAATGGAGCAATAGGAGGCCAACATTCAATATCTAACCAGGAGGGAAGAAGGGTTCCGAATCTCTGTTTATTTAAAGTATGGTATATCATGCATGGACTAACAATGCATGTTGACATTTTCCCCATATTAGTAAAACACAATAAGATATAAATGTTAAAAAGCTCTATGTTCAGATACCAATGTTTGGCCATCTAACCATTGAAATGCAGCATCATTTATATTTTTTAAAAAACCAGCTACTGGGCCCGATATATGCCCTCAGTTTACAGCTGGTCACGATGTGATCTACTGTTTGAGGTGGGTTCCCGCAGTCACACTGAAGGGGGGATGCTAGGCCCTGTTTATACAGGGGGTCCTAGCAGATGTTGTGTGAGGTGCAAATCCTATTCCTGAGCTCTAAGACCCACCTGCTTAGAACCTCGTCTTACCTATCTTCTCATCTTCTTGCACCATCTTTCGCTCCTCGCGGAAAGCTCTGAGCCACCTCAATTTCTCTTCCAGCTTCTTGGCAAAAAACAAATGCATTTCCTCAGTCTCCTTATTATGTAGCTTGAAAGCATTCTTCATGCTCACATTGAAGTCATCGTCCCGTCCATCTTCAATATCCAAAACTTCATAGCGGTCCATATCAATCCGTCCTTTGTAGTACAAGATGTCTCTTCTTATCAGATCCTGCAGGAAAACAAACATTACCGGGACAGCCATTCAAAACTGTGTCATGTTTAAAACTCTGATTTCATCTCCTCGGGAGAAATGAACACAATCGCTGGAATGCAAAGGCCATTCATTAAGATGGCTAGAAAGAACCAACCCTGGATGGAACCTCTCAACTTTGATGCTGTGGAATGAGATGGAACTCTAGCACACCCAAGATCTCTTGCGGATGAATACTGACTGGAAGTTTCTCTCTGAAATGCAGCAAGAAGCCTAGAAATCCATTTGCCAGGGAGAAGTTCTCCCCACACAGTTAGCAAACAGACAGCATTTCCGTTGCAGTTTTAAGCAAGAGGAGAGGGTTTCGGTCTTTTTATCTCCCTAGTCCATAGATCTACTAAAAACAGAAATATGTCAAATAAATAAGAGAAATATCTCTGGTCTCCCATATATGCTGGACGATGTGGGCAAAGAGAATGATGGAGACCACCAGTCAAGGAGAATGTCATGGCTGCACCTGTCCTATCCAAGCTTCATGAGCTGGCAGCCTCACTTTATTACTGGGGACGGGGGTGGGGTGGAGAGAGGGAAGGATTGGAATGCAAGGAAGATGGGGGGAGCCCAACTGCACCTTCCTTCCTTCCTTCCTTCCTTCCTTCCTTCCTTCCTTCCTTCCTTCCTTCCTTCCTTCCTTCCTTCCTTCCTTGATTTGATTTGTCAATTGCTTACAAGATAATAGGTATAAGTAAAAACATAGTTATGAATATATGAAATGGGTACATATAAGACAAATAAAAGAAACAATAGGACAGGGATGGTAGGCACATTGGTGCGCTTATGTACGCCCCCTCTTAGGAAAGGCGTAAGGTCAATAGTAGACAGTCTAAGGTTAAAGTTTTTGGGGTTTGGGGAAGAAACCACAGAGTCAGGTAGAGTATTCCAGACATTGACCACTCTGTTGCTGAAGTCATATTTCCTGCAATCAAGTTTGGTGCGATTAACCTTGAGTTTGTTTTAACCTTGAGTTTGTATCTCAAGCTTAATCGCACCAAACTTGATTGTATGCTCTTGTATTGTTATGGTTGAAGCTGAAGTATTCATTGACAGGTAGGACATTGCAATGTATGATTTTATATACTATACTTAGATCGGGCTGAAGGCGGCGTAGTTCTAGGTTTTCTAGGTCTAGAATTTCAAGTCTGGTGGCATAAGATATTCTACAACGAGTACAGGAGTGGAGAACTTTTGTGAAATATTTCTGGACTTTCTCAATTGTGTTAATATCAGATACGTAATGTGGGTTCCAGACTGATGAGCTGTATTCAAGTATTGGTCTAGCAAATGGTTTGTATGCTCTAGTTAGTACTGTGATATTCCCAGAGAAAAGCTACGTAGGATTAGGTTAAGAACTCTTAATACCTTTTTGGCTATGTAGTTACAGTGGGCCTCTAGCACTTAGATTATTTGAGATGAGTACCTTGTGAGAAGCTTCAGCCAGCCAAGGTCAACTATTGATATGCAGAGCTGGTAACAATGAACCTGTTTCCTAAACAATATACAAGCACCAAATTGGACAGTTACAGATAACTTGGGGGGGGGGGGGGTGGTGTTGGGCGGGAGAGGAAAATTTACTTTGTATTGTTTGCAGATTCAGCTTACACTATTTCTGTACACACTTAAGCTTCAGTAAAGTTATACTCTTGGCAAAAACAAATGGAGTCTTTCTTTGGTAGATGACTGGGTGGGGCAGCTTGTAGATTAGTAAACCATGCCTCCTTTCAACTTGCCTTAGCCTTAGCTAACACACGTTTCTTCTATTCTAGCAGTGTTTTACGAGAGAAGTCATAAAGAAATATTTGGCTTCCTGGTGCTGAACTCACAATTCCTCAAGCACGATAGAGTTGAAGATTCTGGTCATATCTTTGTCACGTTTGGGGGAAAAAAGACACTGTTAAGAAAAGTGTCAGATTGAAATATGAAATGTTTGCAGTAGAAATTAGAAATAAAAACTGAGCAAACATCACAATTTCAAAGCCAGTTGCACAGCAGAGGCTTCAGCCATGACTAATTTTATGTAAGTTTACTTAAACAGAGGCTCATTTGGAACAGCTGGTGCTAGACCTATTTTTAAAAATAATTTTAAAAAGGTAAAGTTATCTGAGCAGCTGACATAGGGGTACAGCAGATGGTCCCCTGATCTAGGTGAGTCCCAGTTGGCTGAACATGTAGTCAACTGACTTAATCATATATTTAAGGAATGAGTCAGGAGAGAAAAGGAGGAGAGAGAAGAAAAAGGGGAGAGAAGAAGAAAAAGGAAGAGGGGGAAGAATGGAAGGAAGGAAGGGTAGGAGGAGGGGAGAGAGAGTTAGTTAAAAGTTAGTTTTATGGTCAAGGCAAGGAGAACATAAACTGAAGCAAGATTCTGTAGAGTTTTTAATGCAATTATAGTGACAACCAAAGGACCAGGGTAGGGACCTTCTAGATTATCTGCTGTTGCTGAAAAGACATTTCTATCATCAATTACTCTTGACTATGTCTCATGGAGCTTCAGGGGAGTCCAATTGTTCTCACTGTTGGGAAATTTCTCCTTAGTTCTAGGTTGCTTCTCTCCTTGATTAATTTCCATCCATTCTTTCTTGTCTTGCCTTCTGGTGCTTTAGAAAAGAGGTTGACCTTCCTCATCTTTGTAGGAGCCCCTCAAATATTGGAACACTGCCATCATGTCTTCCCTGGTTCTTTTTTTTCACCAGGCTAGCCATACTCAACTTCTGCCACCATTCTTCATACATTTTAGCCGCAATCATCTTTGTTGCTCTGTTTTTAATCATCTTTGTTGGCCTTCTCTGCACTCTTTTCTCTTTACATTTTTACATCTTATTATTTTACAAGTATTTCCTATATTGCACACATAAATGCTATTTAAATAATACCCACAATAGAAGATTGGATTATAAACTTGATGCAACACACACCATTTTGTGGCAAAGTTGATTAAGCTCTGATAGATAAAGATAGAAAAGATACAGATTTTTTTAAACAGATTAGAAAATGTACATGGACTTTTTGTTGAAAGAAGATAAGATAGAACTGATTATTTGGTCTAGTCTAAAAAAAAGAAGAAGAATTATGGGCAACATGATAGCAGTATTCCAGTATTTGAGAGGTTGCCACAAAGAAGAGGGGGTCGAATTATTCTCCAAAGCACCAGAGGGTAGGACAAGAAACAATGGTTGGAAACTAACCAAAGAGAGAAGCAACCTGGAATTGAGGAGAAACTTCCTAATAGTGAGGACAATTAACCAGTGTAGAACGGCTTGCCTTCAGAAATCATGGGAGCTCCATCACTGGAAGTTTTTAAGAGGAGACTGGACAGTCACTTGTGTGAGATGGTATAGGTTGTCCTGTTTGAGCAGAAGACCTCCAAGGTCCCTTCCAGATTCTATTCTATTCTATTCTATTCTATTCTATTCTATTCTATTCTATTCTATTCTATTCTATTCTATTCTATTATTCTATTCTATTCTATTCTATTCATGGGCTCTATTCTTGGGTCCTCCAAGAATAGAGGGAAAGGTAGAAATCAAAATTCTATATTTTCTTTCCTTAAAAGTACTATTTAAATAATACTTGTAACTTTATTGTTTAGCAGTCAATAGGCCATAATCAAAATACAGAATGTAAAACACAAACATTAATAAAACCATATATAAAAATGGAATAAAATAAATTAAATTTAAAAAAAATGCAAAACATTTATGTGTCATTTCAACAGTTTATCCCAATCAGACCCACATATGTGCCATTTAAATACACTTCTGAATCAATTTAGTATTCAAAACTTTGGGGTGCACTTTTCTTTTCTATTCTGATACTTTTAATGCCAAGAGCTGCACCAGATCTCTCAAAAACTAGCCACATCTGATGGATACCTCAGTTCTAACCCAACCCTTCATTTGAGATGAGCATATCTGCTAGCATCTTAATCAGCAGTGGCAGGACCAACAACACATATCAGCATATTAGAGGACATGGCTTAAAATGGAGTGGCAAGGAAGAATTGGGTGTAGCTGATGCTTCAACTTTATGAACAGCTTAGGGGGGATGATTGCTGCTGAAAGCAATTTTTAGTAAGCCAGGCTTATATTTTATATTTTAGCAAGCCACAATATAAAAAAGATGTAGACACTCTTGTTTGTGCCTAGAGTCTCTGTGAGTAGGGGGTTATATAACTTTTCTAAATAAAATAAAAATTAAAAATAAAAATATCTAGTCTAATGAAAACAAGGACTCGTGGTGACATGATAGCAGCGTTCCAATATTTGAGGGGGTCAACCTATTCTCTAAAGCACCTGAAGGCAGGACAAGAAACAATAGATGGAAACTAATCAAGGAGAGAACAACCTAGAACTAAGAGAAATTTCCCAACAATGAAAGCAATCAACCAATAGCTTGTCTTCAGCAATTGTGTATGCTCCATCATTGGAGAAGAGATTGAACAGCCATTTGTCTGAAATGATAAAGGGTTTCCTGCTTGAGGAGAAGGATGGACCAGAATCTCTAAGGTCCCTTCCAACTTTGTTATTCTATTTTTTGGTCTATGATCAAATGGGGGAACTCTCCAACGTGCTGAAGCATGGAGGACCATGAAGAGGTGCCTTAAGTTGTATTTCTGTTTCAGCCTGTATCCTTCTGCATCTATCAATCCAAAACTGATATTCTAACTTCCTTCATTTCTTGTTTAAACTGCTCTGCAAAGTTACTGTCCGTATTTATTGGTGCCAAATTTTGCTGTTATTAAAAAGGAAACTGTTCTCCTACAAGAACAATTTCAGAAAGCAGATATTCTCTAGGAATATTATTATAGGCTGGCATCTCTGCCCTCTTTTGTTCTATTTCTTTCCCTTTCCCTTTATTTCAGGTCAAAGGTCCTGGAAATAATTTGGAGAAAGAGGACTGCTGGAATGATTAATCAGAAATCATATCCTGCTTTGCATTAAAAACTGAGTTACTTTAGAAAA